AGTTCTTCTTGAAGCTCCTAAAGCATACTTCATCTATGAATATGAAGCTTCTCCCCAAGTACACATATGCAGGTGTCTAAGGAAACTGAACCTGGGGCCTGAGGCATTGCCAGGGCTACCTTAACTCAAAATGCAGTATTAACAAGCTATTTAGTGGTCTGTATGTGTTTAGCTACCAGACAGCTGTACCTGGCCATGGAGTAGATGCTCTGTTTCTTCGTGCCATCTTTTCACCCTCCTTGGGTTTGGGCCATCCCACGTTGCCCTCATTGCCGCACAAGCATCCCAAGAACAGAACAGCAGAACATGGTGTAGGCAATACTGATGCTGTGGCTGCTGGTATCCCCCATTCACACTAAAGGAGGATGCCTTGGCTATAGTCACAGAAAGACTAAATTATATTTACACTAAGCCAAACAAGTTTCCTTCAAACAAAAGGCAGTAGCTACAGTGAACTCCAGGGAAAGCCTGTGGGGTACACAGCTTTGATTAAATGGAGATGTCAGGAAGAGTTGCAACTGTACACACTAGATCTTATTTCTTTGTGCTTGGACTGTCAGTCTCAGTGTGAAAGCAACTCCTCCTTCAGTGTTGCCACTGAACAGCTTGATAAAGTATGCAGTCAGTACTGCAACACAGCAGCAGTTACGTTACTTTTTCCTGACACCTTCCACCTCAGAAAGCCTGAAGCACCACCCCTGCTAATCCCAAAGATTTGGAGAACATCTCTCACCACTGAAATGTGGGTCTCAGTCAAGTCAGGAAGAGGCGTAGCTCAGATGACATGCTGCTGCCACCACTGACACAAGGTAAGGGAGGGTTTGAACACAGCAATGCCATGTCCAAGGGTCTTGAGAGCCATCTTGTTAACACTGTATACAATCAGGTTGAGGAAGTAGAATTTAATGAATAGCAACTTACAAAAGATGTTTCTGGATGAATGCAGGGGACTGTGGAGAGACAGAAGGAAGAGAGGAAAAAAAAAAATATAATGGCACCAGGAAAGGACACCTCAACACACATGTGGAAGGATACAGGGAAAGCCATCAGCTTCAAAAGGACTTTAACATCTTATTTCTAAAGAAAATAAATACTTCTGACAGGCTGGGCACTCAGAGCTCAAGGGGCTCTCCCTGAAACATCAGATAGACATTTCTGAGCTTGAGGAAGAGGGTGTGCTTGCCAGCCCACAGTGATGGGGGAAGAGAGTGGGCAGAGACAGAGAACAGCTGGTAAAGTCCATTCCTGTGAAAGAAGGCTGAAAAGTAGAAAGACATATTATCCTTTTCATTGCTGGAAGACTCACCTTATGGCAGTGATTTTGGTTTAAGTACTTCAAGAAGTCTGGTCACTCACTATCGGTACAGCTACTAGACATAATACCTTCAGAGGGACTGGACACTCTGGATAACACGCCATGGACCTCAGTATGAGACTTGGTTGACTCCAGTAGTCACACAGCAGATAAGCTGCACGGCTGAAGACTGGGAGCCTGCGCAAGGATAAAAACCACAACGAGAGTAGATTGGATCCATCCTGATAACCATCATCTAAGGACTATCCTTATGCAAAGGCAGAGATGTTATACAAGTAACAAAATCTAGATTAGAATCTGTCCTGGAACTGTTTTCACAAAAACATAAGTTACATGAGAATGGCTGTTGCAGAGATCTTGAGGATCCATCATCTGTCTCTTGGTTGAGTAATGACTACAGCTATCTACAGTGTCCTCCTTCCTTCCCTAGCACATCACTAGAGGGAGCTGCCATTACCTCATTTCTCAGCCCCCACCTGCTTGACCAATACTTTTATACACTTACCTTGCCTAATTCTCATGTTTTGGGTGAGCTGTATTTTCCTCCACAGCTAATGGTGAGAAATGGGTATCTTGAGGTTCTTACTCTAAAATGCATGTCTCAAGTAGGCCAGGTAAATTGCATTCTTTAGGTATCTGTTTCTCAAGTCCAGGGTGGCTAGCTTAGGTGTTAAAGATTAATTCCATCATTGTTATCTTGAGAAACGACTTCGCTTCATACTAGGTACAATGTTCACCACAGAGGTCACTTGTCTGGAACTCACAGACACTGAGCAGCATTTGTGTTATGATAGCAAGCAACCACATGGGAGAAAGAAGGCCAAAACCACCTTATTTAGAAAAAAAATCTGTCCCTTCTGCCTTGGCAAGGGGAAAATGAATGTCTCTTTGGAGTCACTTCCTCATCAGAAATGCTTAGTTTCCTTGTATATTGCCTGGAGTCCTCATGAGGAAAGAGACTACAAAATGTTAATGTGGATGTGTGTGTGTGGTGCCAGCCTTGCAGATGATCTGCAGTGGGCACTGGGCTGGAGTTCCACAGCTTGAACTCTCAGCAGGTGATTCAAGGATACAGCACAACATACCCCTGCTCTCCCCTCCAGAGAGATGAGCACAAGAAAGCATGGTCCTTTAGAGATGCAGAGAGACAAAGGCAGGAAGAGACTCCTGAAGGGAGTAACGGGAAATGAAGGAGGGGAGGCAGAGGGAACAAAATGTGGAAGAAATGGTCAAATAAGGTTGGGGACAGAAAGAAAGAGGATGTACCTGAACACCAAAGGGGAGGTTAGTACTACTGTACTCGCATTCAGCTGTAGCCACATACAGCTTTCATATATCCAGGCAGATACTAAGCAGCATGGCTATTTTCCCTGTTTACATAGCCCTAGCATCCCAGCTGCTGCACACCATGACCAGCCGGGATGGGCTAAGTCAGCACAGAGGCAACAAGAGCCACAAAAGCAACACCAGTGCTGTCCTCTCAGACATCTCTGTGGGTTCTCAGATGCCCTGTAACTGGTACGCTCATATTGCTAGCTCTGCTGGAGGAGCTCTGGAAGAATCATCCCTTCTCTCCAGCCCAACCCTTTAAGATACTTTTGGGAACTTTGTATCTTTGAGACTCCTTGCAGTCTGTTGAATATGCCAAATCATTGTCAGGATCATTTGAATAAGGAATCAGAGGGCATGAGCCAGGTTAATTTGCCAACAAGAAACAGAACTTCATGTCCATCTATCTGCAGCTTCATTATTCACTTCTGAAGCCAGCAGAGGTGTACCCAGACTAAGTCAGTGGCCCAGTACATGCCAGAGCTTATAAAATCCCACATGAACAAAGTCTGATATAACACTAACTTGCTTTCACAAAGTCTGCTTTTGAAAGTCCTGCCTTTCTACCCCCTTGGCAGAGGTGGAAGCAGACATGCACTTACACTTCTGGCACTTTGTGGAATGCAACTCGGCTGCCAGGGAGAAGAGAACAGCTTGTCTTTGTGGCAGCTCTTCTGAGGGACCTGAAAATCCGCAGAACTTGGCTTCCTCAATAACCCAGGCATTCCCCTGGAGCTCTCAATAGCGATCATCTGCTGGCTACAGCCTAATGCTGTTTTCCTCAGTAACAGGAGATCTCTGGCAAAGGGCTGTCCAGTAGAAGGCTACATGGTGAATTTAAGATGTATTTACCTTGCACAAGAATGAGCAGTGGCTTTTTCTTCAGTTTTCTTCACAGCTTCAGTCAGTTGCTGAAGGGTCCTTCTTGAAACACCATCTGCCCTGATACCTGCTGTGCCGACCTCAGCCCCCTGTAATCACAGAAATGGAGAAAGTCCCACTGAAAAGGCAAAAGCCATACATTTCCTTGGAAGATTTGCATGACTGTGCTTCACCTTCACATGACAAAGAAGAGACAGGTCATCTCACACATCCTACCCAACACCAGTCGGCTTCAGCCCAGCAGAGGTTTCAGGACTGGCCCTGATGTGAACAGAGCCATCGCAGCACAACTGGGTTCTGTCGTAGAACAAGTACAGCCAAGCACATTGCCCGAGCCTGGTGCTATAGAAGCAACTAAACTCTCAGGCTCTGGCACAAAAGTGCTTTTTCACACTGCCTCTATGACAGTTGGCAGGTAGCTGAGCTGAACCCATGGCAGATACAAGGTGATGCTGGGGACTTGGTAACTCCCATCATTCACTGCAACACTCAGGGAGTTACTTGCAAGTATCGCCCTTCATCTCCAGACTTCAAATTTCAGCTTCCTTTTTTATAATAAAATCCCAGGGTGTGGGGGAGGCAAGAAGATTTCATAAAGCTATCACAGACTCATGTCACAGACACGTGTGTTAAACATCTACAGCTGCCAAAGGCTCTGCTGAGGGATCAGAGACAATTTCTCTATCTCAGCTGATGGCACCTGTCACTCCTTAAGAACTCACTGCTTAGTGCCACCTCCCAGCTCTCTGTAAGCACACTCCACAGGGGACATCTTGCCATGCCAGCTGTGACACCATCTGGAGAGAAGTTGAAGGTACACACTTCGCTGTCAACTGGCCTGCACTGCAGCAGTCTCAGACAGAACGTGCACCAGTTTGAACACAAACCCACCCTGCCAAAGCCTGTCTTGGCCTCCCCAAACTACTACTGCCTCAAGCATCTTCTTGTTGGAAAGCAAGTCGCCTCCTTGCTGTACTATATCATGGTGTCTTTACATGGTTGCTGGAGCGGGGGGAAATCCTAAATTCAGCCATCAGCAAGGTAAGCAGGAAGTTTATGTCCAACACTACTGATTTCCCTCCTGGTACCTTGGAAATGAGAAGCCTTAGGAAGGGTTTAAGGAAGACTCAACATCTAGTGCCCAGGTTTTACAGCAGATGCTAAACACACACGTGACCCCTGGCCCTAGGCAAACAAAAAGAAACTCCCCCAACAAAAAGGCTGACAAAGTGGGGTAAAAACAGGATAGACTCAGAACACAATTCACATTTCCAAATTCATCACACAAATGCAGGAAAATATTTAAAACTTACTGTAAAATAGGCCTCATGCTTATTTTACAGGGTAAACAGTGATGGAAATGGGACCATAAGGTTTACATTTGATACCCTTGCCTCAACAATAGTGCCTGCATATATGCAAGGTACCAGGAAAACTGCCCATAGCTCAAAGATCCAGACCCACGGCACAGACATAATCAAAAAGGCTCGCTCTTTATTTTAAACATAAAAAGAAACATTTTACACAGCATTGTTAGAACTATTCAGTACCTGCATTCCAGAATTGTGCCAAACACTTTATTTTATAACTTTGAAATTAAAACAAAAGAAAGAAAATATCTTGCCCTTCTGCTATATGATGTTCAAGCTTGTCCTGGATCAAAATTCCAAGTGCCTGGAGGAATTTACCAGCTTAACCAGGAGATGTGGCAATGTGAACAGAGGAAGATCAACGTGAGCCCTTAGGATACTTTGACAATACCACAGGTTGCAGCAGGGAGGATATGGATGCTTGCACTGCATCTCAGGCAGCTTACTCTTCTGATACTCTGCAGGTTTAATACATACACACCTCCACTCACACAAACCCAGGTTCACACAGGAAATAATAATAAAAAACACAAAAAGTGACCTAGATTTTTTTTCATTAGAGCTAAGATTCCCACTCTATTTTTAAAAAAATGAGATAATACAAAATTGGCACAAGTAGAAGGAAACCTGGCAGAAGGTAAGTGTAGCCCCTCAGCTTCTAGCCTTCCAACTACAGCAAACACAGGGTGAAAAGGGATGCAGCATTGCCTTCCAAGGGGCTGGCAGCAGTACAAGCTAGCAGCAAATTTGCTTCACTTGGAATGACAAAGATCGTTTGTTACAGGCCATGAAGGAAAGTCAGCATTAGCTAAGGGCATGGGTACCTTTCACTAGAGGAGCAGGGAGCCCTGACCAAAATAACCCTGAGTTTTTTCCAGCAGGGAGAAAGTGTGCTATGTTGTGTGCTTGGGAAGAGCTGGTGGTTCCCTGCTCATTCATTCCCTAATTATTGCATTGATTCTCTCTCAAACTTAACCAAGAGCACATAAACAAGCAGTCTGCAAAGACAGAAAGTGACTGATGCTGTGCCTCGAACTTCACCACCACTACAACCCCCCTCCCAAGATGCCCCAATGCCACAGGCCTTCCATGAAGAAAGCAGATGTTAATGCAAGGAAGAAGCTGCTAGATCAGTGTGGGAAGGACAGCCAGCATCCCACACATCACAATGGTGTTTCACTACATCCCAGGAAAAAGCAAGATTTCACTACAGCAGACAGACAGGAAAGGAAGAAAAATTCTTGCTGTCGAAGCAATATCTGAGTGAATTCTTTTCTCAACTCCCTTCCTTTGGAAAGCATCGCTACAGATTTCTGGGCTTTCACAGCAGAAGCTAGAGACTCTGTCCTGTTGCTCAGCAGAGGCAGCTACGTCTGCCTGAAACATAGGCCTTTTCAGGGCTCCTCCAGAGAGGAAAACATCAGGCCAGACAAAGTTGTTACGAATGTTCAGGCCAACGTTTTCCAGAGCTTATAGGTTTTGGGTGTCCCAGTTTTGGAATGCTATATGAAATGACTTAAAGAGTCAAAAAACAAGTTGCAAGCCCTAACTATGCAAATAAAGTCCATTTTGAAGATATCTCACATTCAGCTTCCAAAAATCACTGGACATCTCTATGCATACATATGTATACGTAAGTGACTGCAAGCGTGTTCGCATGTGGGAAGCAGAACTGCCTTCTAGAAAAAACCCTCATGTCAGCCTCAGAACAAAGGTCATAATGTAAGACAAGGGAAAAAAAAAAAAAAAAAAAAACAAACACACAAAGAAAACTTACTGCAAAAACCCCCAATTTTGGAATAGCTACAGCATTGTGTGCAAGGTTCCACAAATACCAATGCAAAGTGAAGCCTTCATCATATGGATACTAGACCTGCAGCTCCCCTGGAATGTGCAGTGGGATGAGCTACTAGTGAAGCAGGTCACCTAGCACATAACTAATTTCTAAACTGGCAACAGCACACCACAGCCACCACCTTCCACGGATGCTCTCTTTTAGCATCTTTATCTTAAAAAAAAAAAAAAACAAACAGCCAAACAAACAAAAAAACCCCAAACAAAACTGGAAAGGATTGAGCCCTGGCCTCAACTCTGCATTTCTCACCCTTCTTGATGTGAGCCAAACCTTGACTGTGACATCAGATTGCACTACAGTCCTACTTCCTTGTTTGTTTATACACAGTATCTTTATTCTGACTTTTATTGCTTAAAACACCAGCTGTGCTGGGAAGACAGAACTGCCTAGAAAAGGTACTGCTCCCACTGAGGAGCCAGGTCAGTGTATGTGGAAGACCAAAGCAGGGCTTCTATACTATAGCACCTAGGAATAGGTCTCAAGCCCATGGGGAAAGCCCTGCTGCAGGCCCATGCACAAGACCAGGACCATTGGAACCTGAAGGATTCTCGCTGCACTCCTGGGCTTGCTCCTATTCCTACCCTGAGCTGCACTTCAGCTACTGCAGATCTCAAGACTCTGCTCACAGGTTCAAGGGTTACTACTGAGTGACTGGCAGAAGCAGCACTGGAGTCTGGTCTGTGTTTTTGGTAATACATCGTTTACAAATCTTCTCTAAACATGATCAGTTGGCCAACTGCATACAAAGATCCATGTAATTTTTTTTTTTTTCATAAGTCACACCATCACCAGTGGGGCAAGGTGTCACACCTCTCTGCAGAGACCAGCAGAAGACTGGGCCTTGTCCCCAGCTACCACGAGCCCTGTCTCATAAGCAGAACAGGGTCTCAGGCACAATGCGAACTGCTGTAGTGGGAAGAAAAGAAGGTGGCCATAAGCAAACACCCAGCAAATGCTTGTATGAGGACTGACTGTTCAGGGTTGCCAAGTTAGCCCCTATTCACCACAGCTAAGAGCTTTGAGCACTGAAAACGAAATAAGAAGGAAATTCAAAAAAAGGTGTCTCAAAGACCTCCAGGCAAGTTATGTTTTGGGGTTAACAGCAAACCCTTCGAAAGCCAGGGAAGAGAAGGCATGCTGACAACCATAAACCAATTCTTTGCTGGAACAATGTCATGAGGCACCAGCAGAGGAACCTTCTCCAGCCTTCAAGCCAACACAGAGAAGTCTGTGAGATACCAAGGCAGACAGAGAAAGGAAATAGGATGTAGTGTGCTACAGGTAGAGGGGAAAAGTAGATTTGTTAATACAATGAAAGTCTAACACTTCTACCAGCCCCCTTCCCACCCATTACCCTGTCCGTCATGCTTTCATACAGGGACATCTTTTCAAAACCAAGAGCAGGGGGAAGAAAACCACCAAACAAAAAAAGACTTAGTGAATTTTGTCACAGGGCCCTGGTGACAGAAGGCTCAACAGTTTGCACATTAGGAGGACATGATCCCTATGCAGAAAGTGCTGCTGGAAAAGGAGAACTCCAAGTTGCTAAATATGGCCTGAATGTTCTCAGGACACAATGTGTAACAAGGAGAAGCTTGAGGTCCAGGCTGAAATCAGAGAGGAAACGCACTGTCTTGTCTGGGCCTGTAAGTGAGTGTCTCAGCACAGTCCGAGAGCCCTGTGAGTCTCTCCCACAATGCAAGTGTGTCCTGCTCCCATGCTCAGTCCATCTCCATCGACATTAGCCGGCGACGCTCTCGTCTCGTTTCCTGCACTTCCTTCTTGCAGCACCAACGGGAGCTGCAATAGCCAATGAGGCAGGATAAGAGTCCAATGACAGTGGCCAGACCGATGCCAATCAACAGGGGATACTTGAAAGCATTCAGAACTGAAAGAGGAAGGAAAAGTCATTAGCTATCCCTGAGAAATTCAGAGATCCCCTTTATTTGTTCTTGCATAAAAAAAAGAGAAAAATCTCACATTATTCAGTCATGAGAAGATTAATTATTTCAGAAGCAAATTACACTAATTTTCCTTCTTGATTTCTGTCTTTTAAGGTTTGGAAAAATTGATCTCTTATTGGACTCCCTTACTTCTTCACCCTAATTCTTCCTCCACCATTTCAAAGCCTCAGAGTCTGGAAGCACCAGAGAAGCCTTGGAGTGAGATCGCAAAGTAAAGCTAGTTCCAAGAGGTATCCCATTACCTGTTCCTCCAAACAAAAGCCTTGCAAAGTTGTCGCATCAGAGGCAGACTACGGCTACGCTCTTTGTAATATGTTCCCAAATGGCAATGAGTGGACTCCTTTATGCTTTGCTTGACTAGAACTACTAGTACAGTATATTCATTGTCATCCAGCAACCCTGTCTAACCAACCTCCAAAGCTGGTACCTAAAAAAGAAATTTGTTTTGTAAGCTCCTACTGCTCAGTTAAAAGGCAGGGCCAAGAACTGTAAGGAGTTTGGAAAGTACAGTTTTAATAGTTATCAACACAGTAGGGAGAACAAAAACTTCTGATCTGTTTCAAGTTCATGGAACTTCCCCAATATGAACCTTCCTGGAAATACTGAGAAGAAAATTAGTTGAAAACTACTCCTGCATTAATCTTCCTTCTTAGCTACATGCTGAATGCAGCACCTCGCATGCAACCTGCTTCTCAAAGTCTAGCAATACTTGCAGCTCAGGTTGGAAAGCAGACAAGGTATTAAGTGCAGGGAGCAGCATGTCTTGGTTACAAGAGGGAGGAAGGAGTCAGAACTCTGACTTTGTGTTCTCAGCTTTCATATTAACCACAAAATGACTACTTCAGCATGCCCCATCTGCAAACCAGAGCTTCCTCCTGCAGGCAGCAGAAGGGCTAACACTTGGAGAGAATACTATTCTTTGATTGAACGCTGTCCCAGCTATGTAAAACATCACCAAAAAATGATCAGGAAAGAAAACACTCCAGTCTTACAATCAAGATCTGTTCAGGCCTATCTAATCAACAGAATCTGGAATCAGAAGTTGCAAACAATAGAAAAGGATAACAAAATCTAATGAGATTATCACAGACACCTTTAAAAATAGTCATGTGGAATATCTGTCAGACAAGGCGTTAAAAAGAAAAACAAGTGTGTAATACATGTTGCAATTTCTTACCATCCATTTTCACGGACAGAAAGATAGGTTTGGCTTTGATGTCAGGTTCCCGCTGCCATACGCCAGTGGCAGATCGTACCCACGGGGTCACTACGCAGTAGTGGTTCCCAAAGTCATGGTCCTCACAGCCATGAACGCGGAGCCGGAATTCCAGCGGGCTGATTCTCTCCAGGCTGAGATCACTGCTCCCGTTTCTCCTGCTCTGCATCACAATCCCTCTCCGGTCCAGAGAAGCCAGCAAGATGGGCTCTCTATCCAATGCAAAGGAGCGTACAGCAAACCAGGAGACATCAAAGGCCATATCATCTGCATTTGTGGACAAAGAAGAATTTAGACATGTTGGTGAGCTCTGATAAAATATTCACAGCGCCATTCCTCATCACAAGGTTAATCTGCAAGCAGCATAGCTAACACTCGTCTGATAGCAGAAGAAAAAAGAAAAGAATGGAAAAAGAAAAAATAAAGCGAGTGCCCTGAACATGCCCTTACTCAGAGGATTTAAGCAGTGACCTGCAATGAAATTCACTGGAAGGAAAAATGTAGCCACACAGAAAGGGTAACTTGCTACAGGGACAACAAAGAAGAGGTTTCTTGCTTTCCTGCCTGCTATCCTAAAATTTATATTTAATCTCTGGTCTAAGGTTTCACCAAGCAGGAGTAGTGTCATCAGAAGTTCTGTAACTGTGCTGTACCTACAGTGAGAAGAGAGTGGAAGTGCTAGGTATTTGCTAGCAGAGAGTGATTTGCAATTGCTATCTTCGTGCTGGGCCTATACAAGCACAAAGACAGAAGGCTCTTTCCTGAAGGCCCTTTCCTTATATTTAATCTGCCTAAATAAATACAGAGATTCTACATAGAGTATAAAAAATTATCTACAAAAGTACAAGGCATTCGGGAGCAAAGCCTGACCACGACGCTTTTACACATCTTTTCCAGAGTTGTGGGTTACTGTCACAAATCATCAGGCATCATGCTTTGTACCAGCTTTACCACCCAAGGAGATTGTCTATAAAAAAGTATTTATAACACCTTCCACATTTAACATAGCTGATAGGTAGTCAGTGTTCGTAAGCACATCTAGCTCTTTCTACATTCATGCAAGATCCTATTGATCCCATTAGAAGATCTTAGCCTTAACCCTATTAGGCTGATGTAGTCAAGTATCTACTTTAAAAATCACTGCTATTCTTTTCTAATGTGAGCCCAGCAACACCTGTCAGTCTGCAACCTGGCATGACCTGGAACACAGACAGAAAAGCCTGATCACTTGTTTCATTAAGGGGTCTTCCTTTCTAGAACATTAGCAAACTGATGGAACCAAACTGGAAACAGAGGTTACTATTTCTGTCCTGAGTTTTGGGTATTGGTCGGATATGTGGACAGGGCTCAACCCTTTCACACCTAAGGCAGTCCCAGTGATTTTGGCAATGTATCAAACCTCCATTTGCTAGTATTGAGATCTCTGAAAAATACAGTATTAGCAACCTGAAATTTAAACCCAATCTTTCAGCTCATTGAGTTTACTCTTCTCTAAGCTTTCACATTTGATCTCTGAGCTAATGGAAAAATTAAAGTCCTAAACCTGCTGCTGTACTCAAATTCTTTACAAATATAAGTGAAGATGATTTTTAAGCCTCCATCAGGCAAGCTAGCACTTTGGGAAAGAAGGGAACCTTAAAATAATATTTTAAAGTAAAGATAAGTAAAGGAACAATCTCAGCTCTGCTACTTGAAGTATAGCATCAGCTGGCCAGATAGAACATTCCTCCTTACTGCAGACAAAACTTCACCCACTGTTTGGGGTATAATTAGTGCCCTCGTAAGATGCACTGTTTTTACACACATCTTCAAAAATGAAACAGAAAAATGAGAAAGCAGATGTCACTACCAGAGACACTGGCTGACCAAACTGTTCTGGGACAGCAGCCAGTGTCCTGCCCTGCCTGCCATGGCCAGGTGTTCTGGGTGACAGCACAGAACCTAAAGGGAGTACCTGGCCTGTTTTGCAGCCCTACAGCAGCAGTAGGTCTCACAGTTCTACATGGGGGTCAGCATTGGTCATAGGAACCAGCAGCCCTCACAATCACTCTTGCCTATCCTACTGCAGATACTATTATTAGTTACTTGGCATAGCACTCGGACAGCTTCCCTCAAAAGCAAAGTTAATAAAAATTACCATAAACACATGTTCAGTTAACAGGACCAAACTTTGACCTCTGCTTTGTGTACTCATCCAACTGCCTGTGGGAAACAGGGCCTCTGCTAGAAAGAGCTCTGTTTCTATAAACTACTCTTCATCTCTTCTGCCTGTTTATGCCAAATACGGTAATAGCACTGGTCGACAAGCAGTCATGCTGGGAATGACCAAATCCTTCCAAAGATCATCAAGACTGCCATTAGCTCTTGTGTTTCCAGGTACCATAGGAGCATACGGACACCTTCCAGGCTAAGTCCAACTACACTGAATACAGTATTGCACTTGATAAAAAAGGTTTAAACAATAAATTTAGATATTAAAAAAAATATATATTTTTTTTAAATTGAGCCTTCAGATTCTCAGGCAACTTGCTACCTTTGAAGAATTCCTTCTTTTCAGTCTCAGTTAATTTGAGGTTCCCTTCCCTCCACATACAACGATGAGTGCAGGCACTTGCTGTCATTTTGAAATAGCTGAATCTATCTTCTGTAATTACAACATGGGACAACAGTATTATGCCAACATGTTTTATTAGTCAGTATACACAGTGTGCAATTAGTGACTCACTACAGACAGTCAGAAGGAGGATTTGGCTCCAAGTACTCTTTGTCACTATCCTCCTTGAAATAGCTTTATACAGCAAAGTCATCTGATTCATTTCTATATATCTCTGGTTTTCATGCAGTAAAACCACAAGAAAATTTAGCAAAACCAGGACATAAGTCAGGTGCTCTCTAAAGATTAGTGATGAACGTGCCTAGCAGCTCTCAAGTGATAATAAATACTTGTTTTACTGACATAAAACAGGTCACACACTAGGTTTCCCAAAAGCATCTGTACCTTTCCACACACACCTTGCACCAATGTTGACTAGTCACTCTCACAATTTTTGTCCCCAATCTACAAAAACCAAATCCAATCACAAGAACCACATTCACACTTAACATTACAAAGGTTTCTTTCACCAGTTCCTTCTGTGCTCCACAATGTTATAAGTTACAGGAAAGCATAACATCCCAGTGCCAAGCTCAGAAGGCCACCAAGGACCTCAGTACCCCTAGGTCATGCATCTCAGGTGCTTTCATAAAGGAACACAAAGCACTGGGTGCTGGACACTTCAGAGCTCTGTGAGCAGATTAACAGTGGTGCTATCCTTTCTCCCCTCCTCAGTTAGTGAGTATCATCAACATGTAAAGCACATCTTTATGCACATTTCAATTTGACACACAGGACTAAACTGTCTGGGTCTTAGCTGCTTCCCTGGCCAATCACTCCTCAAAAGAGGGAATCCTATTTCTAGACCAGCTCTTAGGAACCATACACTTCCACTGCTTAGAATGAAGTGCTCTCAGCATCTTGTTACAGTGCTGAATCACAATTTTGAGACCCTTTTTGTTTACTACATTTAAATGAGGTTGAATAGGGCTTCCTAGAGAGCTGAGCAAACCACTTCAAGCCATACAAGAGGTAAACAAGCTGGTTTTGTTAAATTCTCCAGAGTGCCCACTGGGTCTGTCTGGAGCAGATAAAAAAAAAAAAAAAAAGCCATATCCTTTCAGGCACAGTAAGTAATACTTTTAAATCCCTAAGCACATAGCCCAAGAAGGGGTGATCTGGGAAGTCTAGGGAGATCATTTGCAAAAATGTGTATTCAACAGAAATATCAGAAGCAGCTTTTGTATCTTCAGGGCACACAAGAACTACTATTCCCCCCTGACACACACACACTCCCCTCATATCAATTCAAAACACCAACTACAGCTCCCAAGCCAAAGGAGCACTTCTTTAGATGAAGCAGTTGCTGCCATGTACTGAGCTTAGTAATACACACTCCATTTCAGCAGGGTCTCAACGAAGCAGAGGAAATTAGAGGAGGCAGTAGTCATGCCAAAATCTGTTCCACCCTTTCGAAAATTTCCCACAGGGTGGGTATACAAAAACACACACACACAGAGTATTGTGAATTGCCTCTACCAAACAAAGATTCAACCCATAAGTAACACTTCTAGAAATAAATGGATCTAACTATAACAAAGAAGGGCACTTGCAAACATCGTTTGTCATTTAATTTTTCCTCAGCAACTTGGAAGCACTTTATTTTTCTGACTGTGCATGCAAAGAGGGAGAAGAGGTTACAACTGACACTTCAACCTATTACAGGAAGCATACATACTAATCCACATGCACGCTTGCAAAGTTGAGTGTCTATGTGTACAAGAGCAGAGCTGGCTGGCATACCAACTGTGTTGAAAGTGGTTTGGATGTGCATTTAAGACATCCTATGAAATTCCCTAATACTTCTTTGCTCACAAGAGGGCCCAAAACACAGCCCTGCAGCAGGTCTGACAACACAAGAGTAGATGGCCTTTGAAAACCATCATGTCCCTCAGAAGAAGGTCAAATGCAAATTCTCTCCTCTCCTTTCTCATCACATTCCCAAACAGAAAGACCATGTCTGTACTGATGTAATCTGTTTTCTTCAAAGAGATGCTGGCAACTTTTGTTCTGATTATCTGATTACCTGGGGTAGGCTTTCCCAACAACATACCTCATTTCTGCACTGGGATGAGACAGCCCTGTTATTTTCACAGTCTGTCTAATGTTTGGCACTCAATTTAAAAAGCAAGTTCTCTATGCCAGTTGTGAATTGAGATACTGACTCAGCATAGAGACAGACCAGAGATGGGATATAAGGGAATAAGGTTACTACTGGGGAACTACATCTGTTTGTTGTTGTATGAGCCCTTAAGGCCCTTCTTCACCTATCCTGCTCTGTTATCTCACTGCTCTAGTCCCATCCATCTCTCAAGGCCAAGCAAGCAGGCTAACAAGAAGTCTGCACACCCTACAGCTGTTGTATAGCTTCCAGCTGTGCCCTGCAGCTCTTCTGCCCGTCTCATTTGGAGGACCAGCAAGGACAGCAGAGGGGCCAGCTTCTCAGGCCCATATGGGGTTTCTCCACACAGCATGGCTAGTTAGGCCCCAAATCCCACTCATTCAGCAACTGGAGGCTCCGAGCACAGACTGAAAGGTTCCCTCAAAACCTGCCACAATGCCACACTTTACTCCTTTCTAGGCATATCTGTTGCCTGTGCCTCATCTGTCCCATTACAGACTCAAAAAAAACAAACCTCAAATCAACCCAAAACAAAAACAGAAACAAAGAAGAAAAAAAAAAAAAAAAAGAACAAACAACCCACAGAGGCAGAGATCTGCCATGTTCAAGACAACATTACTCAGCAATGAAACGGATTGCAGTGCTGACATTTAAAATTCTACACTGGCTGCTCATGACTCTTAGAAACATCATTTCCAACTCCAGGCACCATTCAACAGACATCCATGAACCCTTATGAAGTTGCCCAGTTAAAGCTTAATTGTGATGATGAGAAGTTCCTCAAAGAGAACACCTTTTTACTTCGATCCCTTTGATTATCCTTATCTTGTTAGTGCTTCTGCCAGCCTTAACTACCAAACACACAAAAAAAAAAATCATGAATTAACCTCAGTGGAGCACTGACAGGAGGCCTCTTTTCAAGTTTTAAGTGAGTCAGGGATGCTGAGACCTCTTTCACAAGGCAACCCCAAGCTTATTTTAGCTGTCAAACACCAGCAGAAGCAGCAGCTGCTCCCTGCCAGCAATTATTGCTTTGCAAAGGAAGCCAGCTGCTTTGGGTACTGCCTCACAACAATACCTGTAAGAGCTTGGGCACACCTCAACTTGGAATAGGCTTCCTGCTGAGCAAAAACCACAGGACAGACTGAGGTATACATACAGGCCTACACTGCTGCTCACTGTGTCCAATAGCCCAGGCTATGAATCTTTTGACAGCAATAAAGTTTACTCAGCTTTTCCTCCCTACCAAGCATTTCAATAATACAATCTACAGACTTCTATAATTTTTTTTCACCAGCAACACACAACTGTAATCTAGCAAATTGCTTCCCCGTTACACTCAGATTTACTGTAGAACAGACATCTTGGAATTTCAAAGTGATGGGCCTTTACTAAGCTTGTTACTTCACCTCATCAGCTACTGCATTATAAGTAATATTTTCTGCACAGCACCTCTTTTGTAGTGGCTTACGCATAGATTTTTAAGTTTTGCATGAATCATGGCTTCTTCATATTTAGGTATATACATTTATATATTTATATTTACATACATATTTATAGATTTATTTTAAATACATTTTTATATTTATATAGAGAGAATGACTTCCAAAACAACTCAACTCGCAATAAACCCAAATTTTGGGTATAATAACCAGAAGTATTCTCACAGTATTCAGATGAAAAGCAGCTCATGCAATGCTTGGTAAACAGCTAGGTTTTAAGCAATTCTCTGAACTTTTCAGCTCTTCATAAAAATTTGCCTTTAAAGTGTCCACCAATCCCTTCCACAGCAACTAGGTACTGTGCTTCTTTCTTCCACACAAAAAAGGAGGTTCACCTCTGAAGACATCGCAATAAACATTCATTTTTGGCATTTAGGCTGCAGCAGTCAATTTTTGTTACTTTTAGATACACATTAAGCCTTGAATTTATTCTGAAGTGTGAAGTTGACTGGCCAGGTGACTAAGATTTGTTTACAGATGACCATTTTCTCCCAAAAGGTTTTGCCAATGGATCTCCTTTCCAGTTAAAGGAAACAGGAGTAGTTTTCATAGCCCCCTTAGTGGTTGTAGGCTGAGACTGCCAGCAGTAGGGTCAGCTGGTACAGACAACACAGAGGGGTTTTGCAGTAACAACACTTTTTCCCCCCTCACCTCAGAATGTGAAACAAAATACCTTGTTTTAAAATTGAGCTGTGTAAAGCAAACATGCACTCCTGTATTTATCTAGTTCTACAGGATTTTCATTGTTGGTTTTCAATTCTGCAGCCTCACTCAAAGGACATAGGGTTGTAACTACTGGTATTATTCTGCCTGGTGAAGGCAAATAAGTTACAAGTGAAATAATTTTGCCAAAATACCTGGCTCAAGTGCCATTCCTTCCGTTGTGACGATACACAGCAAATCTGCCAGTTCACCCTGGTAAATGGTCGGGTTGTCAGAATGCACCGAGACATTAAACACAGGACCTAGAAAAGAATAACCACAATTATTCATTACAGGCTTTTCTTCAGTGTCCAAAACCTTTCTTGCATGTTTTTGAAGTATTCCCTGCTAGTCTGTGGAGACAGAGCTCAAGTAGGGATAATCCATCATGTAAGTTTTCACAAAATAGTTACTCATTTTTGGCCATTAATTCCTGCACTAAGACAAAATGCCCAAACTGCCAGACTTGTCATCCAACACAGAGGCTGCTGTGCAAGACTGCCTTTTACTGTCCTCCACTGGCTTCCACTGGTGACTCCAAGAGCACGAGACTTCAGATCTTCGAGCTAATCCAGCATAGATCTTTTTGGCTAAGGCTGACAATAGGAATTCAAGTTAGAGCAAACCAGTACAGATGGTTCCACTATGTAACTGAAACACAGACAATACAAGTGCATCTGATAACACTTTTCCGTGGGTTTTCCTTCAGGTTCTGCCACAAATAGTTTCTTCTGTAGAAGATCTCAGAGCCCAAGGGTACAGTAACTCCTTCAGCTGCAAAGTGGTGATGTTACTGATGAAAACCATTAGGCTGTTATGAAATGCTCAGACACCGTAACAACATGTGATGTTTGACTTCTGAGGTACGTAAGTTAAAAAACAAAAATTCCCCAAATTTTGACAACTACATTTCTGGTGCAGAATTAACAAAACCACAACTAGTCAGATATGCCAACATTGCTAGTACTCTATTTCCCAGGGCAGAAACTGAAGTGTCCAAATACCCTTAGTGATTTCTCTACTAAACAAGGCAAAGGAGCTGAGTAGGAGAAAAGCTGCTGTTAATGGTGGCCTCTGGGATGCCTTTGGGGAAAGGGGCCAGGGAAGCCAAGAAGGAACTTGGGATTAAGAAGTAATCCTTTTTACCCTTCCTGGACTCCATTAACTGCTATCATTACCTCGCTCAGCTACCTCTGGGACAGCAGCAGCAGTAACAAGCATATAAGGGTGGTTTGGGAGGAAAGAAAAGCTGTTGAAAGATTTGCCCTCCTCTACTCTTAACATGCTGCTGTTTTAGTACAGGAACTGTAAATTTCAAATCCACTCAAGATCAGTGGTAAACAACGCTTTTGATGGAGAACACTTAAAGAAATCATCCAAGACAACCTACTTGTTCCTTGCCCTCCCAACATGTTTCTGTTGAAAGCTTTGCTGATAACTCACCACTCTGCACACATTTAACACCTCCCTTTCAAACTGAGGTTCTGGAAAGAAACTCGGATGTGCCATGAAGATAGAGCTGTCGTTTTTGGTGAAACTATTCTAGACTGCAAGGGCCTGGCTTGTTTTGGTCAGCAGAGATTACACAGCACACTAAGAAATGAATTCTAATTCCAATGCAATAATTATGTGGCTTCCAAAATTCCCCTCCCCCCCAATTTCCACTAGGCACGATGTGCTGCTCTGTTATACCATGAATTTCTTACAGCCCTTTTCTCTGCCCCAGAAGCAGTTGTACTTTGTACACAAGGACAGTACGTAGATGTATAATCCCAGAGGTTTGTACCCATTTTGACACTATAAATCCTACTAAAAATTAAGATTGCAAGGTATTCCACAAAGCAAGGATAGGTAGGTCATAGAGGTGCAATAGAGGTTACATGTGGACTACCAGCTGAGAGTCCTACATGCTTATACTAGAACATATTTAAGGAAATAAGAGACCCAGAACGCTCTGAAGTTCAGTTGTTCAGGTAGTGACTTCACAAACAGGCTGCAGCCCTAATTTAAGTTCAGCATGATGGGATCATTTTCTGGGGAAATAGAGAAAGATTAATCTGATTGCTTCCTCAGCCTCTATCCAAACTCTTTCTATGTGAATTCAGTTTGTTTCCTGACATTTACACACACATGCACACACATACCCCAGCCACATTCCCTTTGCAGCCTATTTGATTTTTCATCTTCAGATAAAACAAGACCTTTTCCATCATCTTCTTTGGAGTTGTGCAGACAGATGTTCAAGGTCACAGGGGACTGAAGGCAGCGTGGACCAGGGCACTCCAGCCAACTGTAACCACAGAAGTCTCAAGCTGTGTGTGAACTGTCACAGCAACAGAAACAAAGAGACTGCCAAAATCTGCCATGAACATCCCTGCATTCCCAGCACATACCCTCTACTGTACTGATCAAAGGCAAAACAGCACCATAATAATCCTGGTACTGTTTATAACTCAGGGTTTATCCTAAATCCCAGCAGCAAGTGAGGTGACATCATTTGAGGAATATGGGACATGATCTACTCCAACAAACAGGCTCTGTCCTGGCTAGATGCTGGCAGGGATTGAGCAAGGGAGATGAACTGCATGATCCCAACTTTGCCTGGCAAAGGATGGGCTGCCTTACCCGTGCTCTGGCAGGGTAAACAAGGAAAGACAAGGAATACATATATACAGGCCTTTTCAGGCCTTATTTCTAGGCTGAAAGTCCAGGCATCTACTGCATTCAGCAGACACTGGCTTCAAACCCTGGCATGCCAACAAACCACTAATACAGAGTGGAGTCTGAGCACTCCTGGTCATTGAACGTCAGGAGGGTAAAAGCTAAGCTTATTTGGTCACTCCGCCAGGAAAGGCCATGTATGATGGTAATGCAGCACTCCCTACATACTCTTCAGTTCTGGGTCACCAAGTGCATCTCTAACCTGCCTCCCACATGAGGAGTCAAAGCTTCCTGAGCAGTAAGAAAGCTGCTAGGCAGAAGCTGCTCTGTTATTTCATGATTGTACTTCCCCTTGGTAAGCCACAGTTATTCCCCTTCAGTTATTTCCCTACTAGGGTACATCTCCTGCAAATTACCATCTGTACCTCCAGGGAGAAATCACTGTCCTGTGTTAGAAGAACTGGATTTCAACAGAGTAATGTCAGGGCTTGTGCTCTTCCCTCTCCAGCTGAACAGTGAAAACAATTATTTTTTATTTTTTTTTTAAACCTAAGCAAACTTCATTACAGTGAAAGCTTCTTAGTTCAGTCTTGAGAACTGTGTGGTTGCAACTTCCTAGAAGCAGCATCTTTATTCAGAAGTATCTGAGGCCTTCTGCCAAAATGCCCCACATCCTGGGCCTCAGGCTGCCCTCAGGCATGACAGGACAGAATAAAGCATCTTCTTACATTTCCCACACCCCTGAAAAAAAAATAAAAAACCTGAAAAGGCAAGAGTCTGTTTTCAACAGAGACCCATTAGCCCTGAACTGGACCAAAAACACCATTAAAACCCCTACCCTCCACGATAAGACAGTCTTAAGTCAGAGTTATAGTCACTATGCAGCTTGGGAAAGATTCACAGAAACTGATGACATGGCCCAATCCCTCATTAAGTCATCTGCACGCCTCCCTTTTCTATAGAAGGGCTCTGGTCTTGGTCTTGTTGAGTTTTATTCTAAAAAACACCCAACTGATCAGTGCTTTTAACCTGATAACTTGCCTGATTTATGTGCCCAGCTTAAACAACTTGCTCTGGCTTCAGCTGAACCTGTCTGGCAACAGGATGAGAGAAGCAGGAATGAGTTGCATGATAACCTCAAACATAAGCAGCAGCAAACCAGCTTGTTAGAGGGTTACAAGCAAAACCATCAACCTTATCTAACTGGACATCTGCTCTACTGCAGGCTCAAGAAAAGCACCTGGGCAAAACACAGAACCAGAGCAAACACTGGATGTTTCCAGACACATTTTCAAAGCTCATGAGGACCTCTCAAGAGGTCACAAATGTGCCACAAAAATCTTCTACAAGGTGGGGAAAAAAGAACAAACAAAACAACAGGATCCACATTAACATCACACGGCAGTATTCAGGAAGCCCTAAGTCTAGACTCCACCAAGCAGAGCTTGGTACACAAAACCCAAGTTCTTTTCTTAAGTTTCTACCCTCTAAGACAAAAAAAAAAAACACCTCAACTCCAAGCTTACAGATGCAGGTATGTGGTAACAGGCAACTCCCAGTAGACACTGATGATACCAATTATCAGGGTCTCAGCATCATCACACTCAAGCACTTGCAGTGTCACAGGAAGGGCTGGAGAGGTGGCATGAACTCTCCTTCAATGAGATCTGAGTTCATGCTACATTAACACTGAGAAGACTAGAACTCTACAGATAACACATGATGTGGCTTTGCTCACCTTGCCATCTTAGGCAATTAGTTTGTTTGAAATACTGTTATTGGCACCTACTGGTCACTCAGAAGAATAAACAAACCAGAATTTAGTTTCAGGTGCAGGGTTGACAGATCAAGCATGCCCTGTAAAGCTCATCAAGAACAAAGCAAAGTTAACTGCAGGAAAACTGCTCACAACTTTGAAAGCTGAGAAACAACTGGATTTTAATAACTTCAGGTTTGAAGATAAGTGCCATGCCCTCAACTAATTCAGAAACTAAAGAGCACAGATTTACAAAACAAATCAGCATGCCCAATTACAAGAGCTAAGCATCAACCTTCCCTAAATTGCCATCTTCTGCTCAGACCTTTGATTTAAACTAAGCCAAAAATCTCTGTTCTTCACTATAATAAGGCTATATGTAAGCTTAGATACAACCCCTAAAAGAATTTTTCTTCTATATTAAAGTAATAACAATTTTTTATTAAAAAGCATCTGCAATCAAGATAGGGATAAAAAGTTTTTTCAGAGCATTTCTTGACTTCTGAATGCTTGAAAAACACTATATAATTTTAAACAAAGGAAGGAACTGAGGTTAGAAGTTTACTAGCACAAATCTAGAAGCCCTTAAAGAGAAATCAGGTTTCAGGATCAGGACCTGTTTCATGTAATTTCTTCTGAACATCCCCTTTTATGGCAGATCTTATTGCTCAAACCATTGAATTCATGCGATCCAGGAAGGAAACTCCAGGATCCAAATCCTAGAGAGTGATATAGTTTTCAGCTAAAAAGTGCATTGAAAATTCTTCCACATATGTAAATGAAAGGAAAAAATATTTATAAGCTGTACCGATTTTGTTTTATTACTTTGTGTTCAATCAGATCCAC